GCAGAAGTAGCTTTTCAAAATATCATTTTTCACCATTTTTTTCTGGAATTTTTCAAAGCTAGTGAATGTAGTATTTTTGAACTTCCTATACTACATAGATAGGAAAAATGTTGACGTTTACGCCACTATAATTAGTTTTGCAATATTCCAATTGGTTTTGCTACTAAAACAGTTTTACGCCGTGTTGGAAGACTGTCCCAAGTTACCCCGCCCATCCCGAGTAGCCCCGGTTGACGGTAGATCAAAAGGCTCTTTCCAAGGAAGTTCACCCTGCTCAAATATCACATCATCTCCTGAGATTACTTACAGCCAAGTGACCAAGTCATATGTGCCACAACCATCAAATAATTGCACTATCAATGCAGTCTCAGATAAATCTATGATAGAAGAAGAAGCAATTGTGACCCTCACACCTCACCAACTTAAGAAGTGAAATTCAGATGCTCAGCATATCAATTTGCAAGTTTCTGAAAGAGATTATCCTTATGTATTTATTGAAAGAAAATAAGGGAAAAGAATTACTGACCATAAGTGCAAATAGAAAACACTTTAGCAGTGGTGTTGCTGAGGCCTTGCTGAGAGATTTGCATGCAGAAACCACTATTACTGAAGAACCTGCTTCAACTGAGGTAACCTGTACAGCTGCCTGCACATCCACCTGTCCTGGCCCATCAAGCATGGCCATTAATGAACAACCAATATATTCTCAAATGAGATTAACCAAGATGGCTAGAAACTCCAAAAATTTCAATTCTGTCAAAAATTCAAATTTCAATTCTGTTCAGTGACCTACTGCACTAGAGTCCCAATTAGAGATGTATCAGTTAAATTGCAACAGTCTGAGAGGCAAAGTATCTGAACTGAAGATCTATATTTACACCAAAAAAAAAAAAGAAATGGTATGTTTATGCAAAACCTGGCTAAAGAAGAATGAGCCCAAATTTCATGGGTATCAATCCTTATGGCTGCATTGACTAGGAGAAAAAGGTGGTTTGAGAATTCTAATAAGAGAGGATGTTACTTTTAAACCAAGACAAGTGATCCCATTTCCAGCTGGTTTATTAGAGTGTCAGTCCATTGAAATATATACCAACTGTGACAGTATCAACATTCTGAATGTCCAAAACCCCTGCAAAAATATACCATTAGAAGAACTTCAGCATTACACCAATCAGCTCTGATATAGTTGTATTCTCATTGGCGACCTGAATGGATATTCACTCCTGTGGGACTCTCATAACAGATACAACCTCACAGGCCAGAGCATTGAGAAGTTAAGTAACATGCACAACCTTATACTGCTTAATGATGCAGACACTCCTACTTACATCAATAATCACACTGGCTCAACTTAATGTCTAGATCTTTGCATAATAACTTATGATCTAGGGGTCCTCGAGGAGCTGCATTGGGACAGTAACATGGGCAGCAATCATTTCCCTCTAGAGATCACATTTGGCTTTGGGTGTGCAAAGCAAAGTATCTGACTAAGGAAAAATTGGGCGTTACAAAGAGCCAACTGGAAAAAGTGGACAACCCTGTTTCAGCAAAATAGCCAAATTTTAAATGAAATGCACTTTCCTCTACATGTAGAAACCCATAATTATTACATCACCAATAAAATCATTGAAATTGCTGAAGAATGCATATCAAGGACATCAGGCACAAGACAGTTGAATCAAAAGACTCCATGGTGGGATCAGGAGTGTGAAGCCCCAGTTGAAAACAGAAGAAAAGCCAAGAACAAACTCTGGATTCATCCAGCCCTTTCAAACTTGATTCACTACAAAAGATGTGTTGCAGTTGCTAAATACCTGGCTCTGAAGCAGAAAAGGGAGAGCTGGACTAAGTTTACCAAGTCCCTGGGCAACACCACAGCCACCTCCAAGGTGTGGCAAACTATCAAGAGCATTGGTGGGAAGCGGTGCTCCAGAAGTTTTCCAATTGGAAAACATACTTCTCCAAGTCAAGAAATTGCTGAACTTTATCTTGAGCACTTTACTAGTAGCTTTGCTTCTTCTAACAACCAAGCGACTGACAGGGAGGTGACTGACAGAGTGGAGAGTTTTGTGGCACGTGCTGTTCAGATGCAGTGTCCTGAAATCAGCTTCTATGAGCTCCATAAAAGCATTAAAACCTTGAAAAATACATCAACTGGCAATGATCTCATTGCCAACATCTTTCTTTCCAGGATCCCAGACTACATGAAAATTGAGCTTCTCAACCTATACAATATTAGCTTTTGTCAGCGGAACAGTCCAAACTGCTTGGAAGCAGGGCGTCATCTGCCCAATGTTAAAGCCGGGCAAGGATCCAAGCCAGGTCAAATCTTACAGACCCATAACGCTGCTATCATGCATTGGCAAACTCATGGAAAGAATTGTACAAAAAAGGATAGAACACCACATTGAAATCAACCATGCACTACCCCCCACTCAAACAGGATATCGTCATGGCAGAAGTACCATTGATCTTCTGGCCGTATTAACCCATACTATCAGACAGGCAGCAGTGGATGGAAGATACACCTTGGTCGTTTATCTAGACATTCAGGGTGCTTTTGACTGTGTGTGGCACTAGACTTCTTTATAAGATGATCACCCCTACATCTTGATTCCCAAATGATCAAGTGGACATATCACTACCTGAAAGACAGAACCACCTCTGTACAAATTGGGGAATGCCATTCTTTGAGCCGGAACCTGGGCAGGGGTCTTCCCCAGGGTGCTGTGCTCTCCCCCACAATTTTCAATACAATGCTGCGCGACCTGCCAAGATACCATCAAGTAAAAGTCCTATCATATGCAGATGACATCACATTGCTGTTGTTTCCAATTCTGTGGCAGCTGCCCAGAATGTGATGCAATGCTATCTCAATACAATAAGCGAGTGGCTCAAGAAATGGTAGTTTACCATTAAATCATGAAAATGCTCACTCCAGCTCTTCACTCAAAAACGCATCATACCACCAGTCAGTGTACTTATTTCAGACCAACCAATCAGAAACGTGCCTGTGCAAAGGGTTCTGGGTGTTCTTTTTGATGCTCCAAAACTCAAGTTTCATGCACACATTTTTCACCTGAAGAATGAAGGTCTCTGAAGACTGGCGCTGTTACGTGCCATCTCTGGCAGCAGCTGGGGTGCTTTGAGGCGCCTGCTCCGCCAAGTGTACATCAGTTTCATCCACAGCAAACTTGAGTATGGCAGTATACTATTTAACCTTGGTAACATTTCTGTAAAACACGCACAAAAGCTAAAAACAATACAGTCTAGTGCACTGAGAATCGTCCTTGGTGCCCGTAATACATCTCCAATTTCATCCATGGAAATTGAAGCTCATATACCCCCTCTAGAGATCAGGTTTGACTACCTTTTTCGGAAGTGGTACCTAAAAAAGCTTGTGCTGCCCCCACGGCCAATCTGGGGAAGAAATCGGCCATGCAATGGGTGTGTCTGCTCATAAATTAGACACCAGTCACTTTTCCAGAAGGGACAGGCATCTTCTGACAGCCTAGACCATGCCCAGCTTTCATAGAATACCAGGTACCTAGGCCCAATTTGTCATCATTAGTACCTACCTCCACATTACAATTTGGAACCCCATATCCATCTCTCCACTCAGAGCACCTGCAGCCATGATGCCCCTCCAGGCATCAACAGGGGAATGTTCAATGATTTTTGCCATAGTAACTTCCCTTCCTATGTGCATGTATATACAGATGGATCAAAACTCAGCCATTGTCCCACAGCTGCAGCTATATATGTGCTGACTCTACACAGTACTACCACTTGGAAGCTGAACCCTGCACGTACAGTCCTCGGCTCAGAGCTTCTTGCAATTTTCAAGGCTCTGCAGCTTAGCAGCGTAGACCCGATGCTAAGCACAGAGAACATTCTCCTGCTGACTGACTAACAGTCAGATTTGTATGCAATCAGGAACACCATAAACCCCTCATACATAGAATATGCATGCAAAATTTAAGATTTTGTCTACAAAAGGCAAGCCTCCACCATACTCCAATGGTGCGAGGACACTCGGGTAAAAGGAAATGAGGTTGCAGACCAGGCAGCTAATATGGGGCATCAAAATCTCTTTTCTGCTGTGAGCATCTTAAGTGAAGAGGAAACACTCAACGCTGTTGCCGGGTCTAAAATGTCTCGCGCCGCAGGTGAGATAAACCTGTTATCTGCTTCTAACTAACTGGCAACGGCAACAACCCTACTCTGAATGAAGGAAAATGAAAGACTGGTTCTAATGCAAAATGAATTAAAATATGGGATGGTAAATAAACATACAACTTAATAAAATTGCAAATGAAATGGTTGTTTTAATTTGAAATGTGTAATGAAAATGTGCTAGTGAATTGGATGTAAGGATTGAATTAATTTGGAATGTGTAATGAAAATGCACTGGTTAATTGAATGAAAGGAGCATGGACAGGTGGAGATGAGTAGATTTAACTGCAAACAGAAAGAACAGAATAAAAATGCAAATCATGAATGACTGATAACCTGATGGGATGTAGAATGTAAACAAAGCAAGAACCATTAATCTCCATAAAACTAGTAAAAGCTCATCTCCATATTGTGAATTTATTTTTAAAACTAATGAGTACTCACACACAGATTGAATTGAAAGGAATCAAAAATGGACAGATAAATAAAGGAACACTGCAAGATGAATTGTGAACATAACTTACTGGAATTATTTATAACCATAATGCAATATAATAAATTAACTTCTTCAAACTAAACCATTTCAGTCAGAGATGAATACAAACAAAGTAAAAGCAAGGACAAAACTTAACCAAAATTATCAATGAATAAATGATATAAATTTCTATACCACTCACCAGTGCAACTGAGTGCCCAGGCTGAGTGAGATACTGAGTAGGAATCCAAATACTTAAGAGTGATTATTCAAGTTTGCAAATGATACTTTGGTCATCTACACTGAAAAAGATAAAAAATATTTAATTTAAATTGAGTTGGATTGAGAACTAAAGAAATATGATAACGTGGTGGCCGGCGCCTTGCAGAACCTGGATGAATGTTTTGGCATGAATATTGTAGTTTGAGCGAGTGACCGGATTAAGGCAATAACTTGTAGAAGGTATTCAAGAAATTCGCTATATACTAAGTTAGATTTATAAAAAGGAGACTAGTACAATCGGTACTTGAAGAATGAGCAAGATGAAGAAGAATACTTGAAGAATTAGCAATAACAAGATGGTTGCTTTCATTAAACATAAATATGAACATGAATAATCTTATACTGTATTAAAAACAAGTCCATTTAGAAAAATATAATGGAGTCTCAGGACAACAAGGTTCAAATTGTTTGAAGATATAATCGTAGGTATTCAAGCTCCTGCCTTTCTTTTATATTAATTACCTATAAGATCCGTTTATAGTATAAACCGAATTCTCGTTGTGTCTCATTTTGCCACTTAGTCGAGCGAACATTTGCCAGAATTTCATTAATATCGAGCATTTGCCTTATTTGGAATATATCAATATTGTAGAGCAATTGACTAATATGCTCTACGAACGCTCTACATTTCATCAATATTATGATGAAATATGCTCTACAATATTCAACTAATATGCTCTACGAACGTTCTACATTACATTAATATTATGATGAAATATGCTCTACAGTTTTCAAATAATATGCTCTACGAAGGCTGTACATTTCATCAATGTAGAGCGTGCGGCTCCTACAAGTAACTCACCTGAACGTCGACAAAAGAGTTTGGTCTTGAATATTTGATATGGAAGCCAGGGTCGCGGTCTATCCAGGACCTGGAGCCGTAGATGAGCGTGATGGGCACCTCCTGCTGCAGCGAGTCCAGCCTGTGCACCATCGGATGCTTGGCCCAGCCGAACCCCGACATGAGGCTGTGGAACGCCGTCTCTCCACTGCCAACATAAATTAGCTTCAATATTTTCCGGGTTTAAATATATCATGGGAACCGAAATATGTAGCTACTAGCTAGATACATTTTCATTTGTGATAATTCAGCAGTAGATGGACAAACACGAGGTTCATTAACTACGCAAAACATATCATCTTGAACTGACTTATTAGTAACACTGCATCAATTGCACTGACCACAGACCTGCTAATAACACTGCATAAAATTTCCTTGATTACAAAATGTCTAAGATGTGTATAAGAGACAGACCATACACACCATCATGCCTCACCATACACACCANCCTGGGCTGCTGAGCGTTGCAGTCATGACTTGCCTGGGCTGCTGAGCGTTACTGTCATGACTTGCCTGTGCTGCTGAGCGTTACAGTCATGACTTGCCTGGGCTTCTGAGCGTTGCAGTCATGACTTGCCTGGGCTGCTGAGCGTTACTGCCATGACTTGCCTGGGCTGCTGAGCGTTACAGTCATGACTTGCCTGGGCTGCTGAGCGTTGCAGTGGTACAGGTAGCTGGGGATGTCTTCCTCAGCGTTGGGCAGCAGTCCGGCAAACTTGCGGGTGAGGTCAGGCCGCGCCTTCTGTAGTAGACTGGGACCTGCGACGCGTCAGAGACATCAATACATACAATATATACCATATACAATATATAGTGAACGACAGCGAGGGAGACTAAGGTAATTATTGTGACAATGAAGCAGTCATGATGTTGAGGTAATTATCATACAAAGAAGCAGTCATGATGTTGAGGTTATTATCATAACAAAGAAGCAGTCATAATGTTGAGGTCATTATCATAACAAAGAAGCAGTCATGATGTTAAGGAAATAGTACAGGCAAGTGGACGTAAAATACGTGAAATGCGTCATAACAGATCACAAGAAATAAAAAGAACAGAAAAATGAGAAAGAACAGAAATGTTAAAAAAACAGAATAATTGGTCATAACATGAGAAAGAATATATTGATGTTATGATAAATCATCCATTACAACCATAACTAAACAAAAAGCTAACGATGTGGAGCCTGTGCAATGATAACCATTTTATTATGAAGGTCGAGGAACATTGTGATGTGTGGAATCGACATAAATAAGAAAAAAATTACAAGAGAGGCCCAAGTTCCCTGGAACTCGTCGGTCATTACGTCGGTACCGAACACATGGGGCCAGACTATCAAAAATAGTTGCGGGTTCGCAACTCCGTCAGCCAATCATTGACGGTTTCTCAAGCTAAACTTACCAATCACAGACGAGCAAGAAGCCACGACGTTTACTTAAGAGAGTTTTAATAGTACGTAGCGGTTTAAGTAAACGTAGCGGCTGATTCCTCGTCGGTGATTGGGGGTTTATTGAGAAGCCTTCAGTGATTGGCTGACGGAGTTACGAACAGGTAACTATTTTCGATAGTATAGCCTAAGGTAAATAAGAACATGCAAAGAATAGACCGAGAGGTCCCGTGCGGCGCAGCACCGATAACGGGCTGACCTCCCAAGCTGAACCCACCAATCACAGACGAGCAAGGAGCCGCTACGTGTATTAAAGCAAATTTTGATAATAAGACCCCTGGTTTAGACCATAAAAACAACAGACCGAGAGGTCCTGTGAAGCGTAGCACAGACAGTGGGTTGAAGTGCTGGGCGACGGAGGCTAAAGCCTTGGCCCACAGCGGCAGCTTGTAGAGCTCGTCCACGTCCAGCGGCCGCTCAGGGAAACCCCACGGGTCAGCCAGCACCAGGTGCGATATTCTGCGGGGTAGNATAGGTACTGAACTGAAGTCCTAAACATAGGTTCAGTTTAATTGTAAGCGCCAGCCATATTCATGCCAGGTACATGACAAGTACGTTGAAACAAAACAATCTTCATCCTGTACAAAAATAAGCTGATAAGATCAAGATGTATCCTAAATGCTCGAGTGCTCAGCATTTACAATCAAGTTATGCAGAGAGCCTGATTATTTCGTCATGAGCAAACAAGACAATTAACAAAAAATATAACTCAGTACTCACTGCAGTGAGTGACAGCGCATTTTCTCGTCGACGAAAACTTGAGGTCACGGACGGACGGACGGACTGACGGACGGACAGACGTGGCGAGCACAATAGTGCATTTTTTTCCATAAATGAGAAAATGCGCTAAAAATTGAGAAACATGCAAGCTGTATGAGGTTGATCGCTGTTGTTATTGACACGACTACAGCTGCTGTTAGCGCTGCATGACACGAGCAGATAATTGAAACGTACCTCATAATCTTATTATATACGACAAATTGAATCAAAACTCGTCAAGCTTCTGTATATTTGTCGAAGTTTAGTTTTGTGTGTGCATTAGGAGCCTGGCACTGTAAATATATAGGGGCTGGCCCAGCGCGAATCCGCTACACTAATCGTGCCTTGGACTTGAACAATTTATTCTTATTGGGAGAGTAGTGACAAAACTGGGGTAGCAGGACTGGGCAGAAAATTTGAATTTAATTTAAAAATAAGTATCTATTAATTTAGTTAAATAGTTCAAAAATCATTTTATCATATTTAGAAACGAGAGCCGAATGGGAATTCTATGTTCTATATGTAGAATATGAGCTCGAACGGTTCTTATTGTAATAGCTTTATTAAATTTATTCAATGTTTTATGTAGAATATGAGCTCGAACGGTTCTTATCCAATAGCTTTATTATTATTATTATTAATCAACGGGATTTGGGATAAAGAGATTCTGAAACTGCAGGGATCACTGATGATGGGCAACGCCCGAATAACCTGCTTGTAAATCATATGATAATTTGTCCGAAAGCGATACTACAAAATCGAAAAAAAACATTGAAATGATCACAGTTTTAATTAGAATTAAATCTTAATTTTTGAATACCCCCTAAGTAATTGATAAGCTTTAATTTCTTTTAAGGCGTGTTATTTGCATTGCAGCAAATAGAAAATGAATGGCAAGCTACGATTTTTATTCTCAAAAGCGCATTCAATTTTATTACGTATCTCACAAGCAAGAATTCGTACACGAAACATCTTGTGTTCGCATGTATAATTGTGAGTGAACATTTCAAGTCAAGCGATACATTAAACCTGTCTCTTATACACATCTAGATGTGTATAAGAGACAGTGGCTGAGTTGACCATGAGCTGAGCTTCCCGGTAGAACTTGTCCTCAGTGTGACTNAAAATAATAATTATTATTAATTAATTTGGTAATAAAAAATTAGTCCCCCCCTCCAATCAGTAATAAAATTTGGTATTGGTAATAAATATTTAAAATTTAAAAAATTAGTAATAAAATTTGGTATTGGTAATAAATATTTAAAATTTGAAAAATTAGCAATAAAATTTGGTATTGGTAATAAAATAATTAGTGACCAAACACAAATCATTAGTAATTAATAATCATTTAGTCTAGTTCACTTCATGTAAAAGATCGAGGAATCTACAGTAAAAAAATCAAGGAATCAAGTAAAAACGAAATATTAAGTATTAGTGATAAATTCTGGGTATAAACTATAAACGAAACGAACGTTCAAAATTTGTACTAAAAAAGAACAAAGATTTATTTGCATGAATTGATCAAATGAAGTAGAGAATACATTGTTTGCTAGGATAATAATTCTTCAGTATCGTGGTTCAACACCTTATTTCATGTTTTGAAACGAACGTCAAAAGGAAATGCAATGCTCAATGAAAAATTGTAGGTTAGAAATTGTCTTCCTGCTATTAGCATAGCTCGGCTTCATTATTACTGACGGGATTTATTCTCAACTGCATTAATTAATCGATATTTACACGAATTTATTCATATAAAAAAACATTGTTTTGCAGCCCCATGAGAGTACAGCAAAAACCCGAGTGAATCGATGATTCATAAAGCTGAGTCACGTAACAAAGTTCCCTCAGAATGAGGTCTGAGTCACAGCAAGTGAGTAGCGTATTACACAGCAAACATGGGTCTACGTAAGCAAGTGTTAGACCAATTTACTCACGTGAGAGAATGCGCGTCTGAGTCACAGCAAATGAGTAGAGTATTACAAAGCAAACATGGGTCCAGTGAAGCAAGTGTTAGAACAATTTACTCACGTGAGAGAATGCGCTTCTCGGCCTCACGCAGCATTTCTGTCGACGTGGGGCACCAGCGCAGCCAACTCGACATCCAACTGGTGCACACACAAATTAAATATTAGGTAAGAATCGAATTAATGTTAATAATTAATATTATCATTAATATATTAATATTAATTATTAATATTAGGCAATGAATCGAGATAATAAACAGCCACGTGGCCCACAAACGCGTCCCAATTAACTTGACAGCCAACTACACATCACTGTTAAATATTTTAAATACTATTTATAATATTCGTTATTAATTATACATTAACTAGCAGCCCTTAAAAGCAAAAATCAAATCGAATGCACAGGGAAAGCGAGAGGAATAACTACATATATAATGAACAAGTACTCTGTAAATTACAAATATATTGTTTCAAAGAAAATACAACAACTAAATTAACTGGAAACAAACAAAAATCTGATGGATGAATATTTGGATGTGCTTAAAAGCCCGCGTGCAACGTTTTTCCCTACAACGATGTACATGCACACATTTGGCTATCCATGATCGTAATCGATCGTAAAAACGTGGAATTTTAGCAAATGCTTTCCCCAAACAAAAATCTTCTCTATAATACGGCCCCTCATAAACAGCAAAGAACACCACTCATCATTGGTCTGGAAGAATCTTATACGGCGGAAGACACAGATTTGCTAAAAGGAGTTCCGTGTTATTTGCTATACGACTGCCAGCTATTGCCAATACTTCAGCTCCTGAGTGGTTTGCGGACGAAACGATGTCTTCAGAATAGAAACAATTTACTGCGATAGTTTTCTTCGCCTCAGTGTGGAGATCTTCACTACCTCCGTTTTCAAGAGAAGATGTACTCGAAAAAGGCGCAGCTTCTTTTTGAATAATTTCATTATTATGACCATTGTCTGGTACACCTTTTTCGGAGTTAGCTGAGGAGTTAATATCGTTATCAAAATCAGAAGACGTATCGAAGACGTCACTGGTGTAAGCGTCACGTTGTCGCTCTTCTTCATAATAAGGGCACTGAGGATGACTGGACTGTACAGGAACATGAATGTCAACACCACGGACATCTGCTAAAGAATAATCAGCAATATCTTCGCTATTTTCCTGGCTGTTGTACAAAGCTTGCCACGCATCTGGATCAGGCACGTGTTCTTGTGGTGCCAGTGCAAGAACAAGACGGATTCTCGCGTTCATGGAATCTGCTTCGTTGCGACGCGGGAACAGCCATGTTCTCTGTGGCTTACTGAATGCAGTGCACAAGATTAGCGTCGCCAGGGCAAGGCGCGCTACTTGAGTCGCAGTGCGCATTTTGCTTGTGATTTGTAACCTTTATTGTACGAAGTTACTGAAGCTAAGCGAATATTAAACACAATGATCAGTCACGAGGTTTTCCGATCCTTAGTATATAAATGAACAGGGTTCTTTAGTGAAGCTGATGCTTGATTTTCGAGTGTTTTTTTCTTACTTTTTTTCTAGACAAGTTATACGATTAAAATTGTCTCATAAAGTAATTCTTAAGGAATAATCACGAATTAAGTGATACGATTTTCGGTGTACACGTATTGTCTAGAGGATATCGATTACTTAGCATATTCAGGGTAAATATTTTCTGAGAAGCCAGCACATAACTCAGGACACCGAGCGACCATGTAGGACTTGTTGCACTGAGATGCCGGCCTGTCGCTGCCTCCATAGACGAGCAGCACAAGCCTCCTCTATACGAGCCAGGCCTTCAATTATCACGAGCTGGTAGAGCTGCATGCATGCTATTATGCCTGTCTCTTATACACATCTAGATGTGTATAAGAGACAGGTCTCACCTAGTATATCGATGGCATAGACACATGCTAAGTCTCACCTAGTNGCCATGCATGCCATCTTATGCCAGCCCGTGCCATGCATGCCATCTTATGCCATCCCGTGCCATGCATGCCATCTTATGCCATCCCGAGCCATGCATGCCATCTTACGCCATCCCGTGCCATGCATGCCATATTATGCCATAATGATACCGGGCATACGTATGCGACATGCAACGATTATACATGCGTTCAAATGTAGATTTACAAACCTATGAACAATGGCAGAGCAATATTTTATTTGCATCACCTTTATTCATTACAAATTCCTTTTTAACGCATTTCCTCACTTATGGAAAAATGCGCTACCGTGCTCGTCATGTCCGTCCGTCTGTCCGTGACTTGACGTTTTCGTCGACGAGAAAATGCGCTCTCTGTCACTCACTGCAGTGAGTACTGAGTTATATTTTTTTCCAGTCGCTGTGACTATTCAATGGATAAATAATGCCACATTAAAATTTTAATTGGTATGTGCGGTACTTTGTGTACAACTCGTAACAACTCGCGCTGCCAGAATAACATGAAGCAAAGAATGCACGTATAATAAGACACTTCAGGTGGTGTAAAGTCCTCGCGATAACAGCCATCCAAGCTGCCTTTATTGCACGGATCAATATTCTCAGATACTTTAAAGCGCGCTAACATAAATTTTGTGAAGAAAGTTGCCTTTATTGCACGGATCAATATTCTCAGATACTTTAAAGCGCGCTAACATAAATTTTGTGAAGAAAGTTGCCTTTATTGCATATGGATCAATATTCTCAGATACATTTAAGCGCGCTGACATAAATTTTGTGAAGAAAGCTGCCTTTATCGCATGGATCAATATTCTCAGATACTTTAAAGCGCTCTAACATAAATTTAGTGAAGAAAGTTGCCTTTATTGCATATGGATCAATATTCTCAGATACATTTAAGCGCGCTGACATAAATTTTGTGAAGGGTGTGTAGTGACACCAGAAAATAAGCCTATAACACACAGAAGCGTGCATCTTCATTCACTGTCTGACTGGAGCAAGAGAGATCTGCGCAGCCTACACTCATCAATAATAAAATAATACAAGTTCCTCGATGCCTGAGCATCATCAATGAATTCGAACAAAAATTTTTGTAGTATCGCAGTTGATTCATCAACATTTATATTGAAATAACATTTAGAAATAAGAAAGCAATTTTCAAAACCAAGTAAAGTGCACTAAGTGATGTAAAATGGCATCAAATAAGCTATTCACAAATAAAATTAATTGTTTTGTATGTGTCGTATAATTTTTGCAAAAGCCTATTGAAATCAGGGAGGTTTTTTTGGAGGACCCTGTACATGCGTTCAAATGTAGATATACAAAATGACTTCGCAATATTTTGTTTGCATCATCTTTATTCATTGCAAATTCCTTTCTTTTCCAGTCGTTGCGACTATTCAATGGATAAATTATGCTACAATAAAACATTAATTGGTAAGTACTGTACTTTGCGTACAAATCGCAACTGCTCGGAACATCAAAAGCAATTAAAGAATGCACGTGAAATAAGACACTTCAGATGGCGTAAAGTCCTCGCGATAACAGCCATCCAATTGCTGCCTTTATCGCACGGATCAATATTCTCAGATACTTCAACACGTTGACTACCAAGTGGTACATATGCGTACCACGAAATGTATTTCTCCAGGACGCAGTGGTACGTAATTCAGGTTGCCTAAAATTGGCCAAATCCGAGAACAAAAAAGGCCAAAAAAGCCGATAACTCAATATATACTAATTTATTTGTAGGTTCCGCTATAAAAATTCCATTTATTTTCTTTTTGCAGTGTTTAAAATTTAATTAAGAAGTACCCCTATCATAAATGTTAGCTGGCCAAGGCAATTGAGAAAAACTAAATCACGGAATTTGCCCAGAAAAAATTACCGTCTGGCAACCCTGTTTAAAAACAGTACAAAAATGAAATAATAGTACCTACAAGATGAAGCAATCGTAGTCAACGTGTTCAAGCGCGCTGATATGCATTTCGTGAAGCGTGTGTAGTGACACCATGAAAATAAGCCAATAACACACAGAAGCGTGCATCTTCATTCACTGTCTGACAAGAGCAAGAGAGATCTGCGCAGCCTACACTCACTAATAATAAAATAATACAAGTTCCTTGATGACTGAGCATCATCAATGAATTCGAACAAAAATTTTTGTAGTATCGCAGTTGATTCATCAACATTTATATTGAAATAACATTTAGAAATAAGAAAGCGTTGATGTCCGCATTGTTCATCAAAACACCCAGCACACGCACGGTTGTGTCATAGAACATATGTAAATTACAAGAAGCCAGTTATCAAAACTTTCAAATACACTGACTAGTGAAGACGTCTTCACTGTCCTGACAAACATCAATTGAATTGTGAGACGATCCACAAAGATGGTAAATCAAGTCGAAAAGTACCGTATATCAAGACAAACCATCAAACCTTTCTAAGCAGCTTACAGCTAAATGGATTGCGTTTATATAAATTAATCAAAAATAAGGTTCACATACTTCTGTGACAGGACGTAAATTTGTTAAAGACAACCATGCATCATACAATATATTATATTTTCCAATTCATGGTAACAAGGATCACGCGGCATAAAATCGAAGGCCAAGCAAACATGACTTCTTCATTTGAATGGCCTAAGCGCGCGACATTGATAAGACGGCAAGACGGGCCTGCGTACAGGTTACTGCAGGTCATTTCTACAGCAGTGCTGTCCTAGTAGAAAAATAAACGTGATGCTAGATACGTAATACTATAGGTACGTAATGCTATAGATACGTAATACTAGATACGTAATGCTAGATACGTAATGCTAGATACATAATGCTAGATACGTAATGCTAGATACGTAATACTAGATACGAATACTAGATACGTAA